AGTTGAGCCATGATTCTACCTCTCTTGTAGTTCCCCTCATTTCGGTACAAAACTATCTTTTTCATACCAATCTCTCAAACTTTCCAAAGGCACACCTTCAAGCTAATTTTCTGAGTTTAATATATATTATTTATCATGTTTTCATCACAAAAGAAATGAAAAATTTCCCATAGTGGATCCCTTTCTCACAAATCTTCTTGTTTTGGGTATTGTGCCTTAAGAATCTGTTTTCACAGCCAAATTTCAAAATTTCTAGAAAAATGTAGAAAATTATTCTAGACCTCCATTTTATGTCAAAATCTTCCTTAAGGAGTTATCTTTCAAATAAAATTGGTTTCATTGAAAATGAGTGAGCGATTTGTGAGAAACTCCAATTTTTGTAACGGTCGACGAATCTGGACAGCGCTGGAACATTTCTTAAATAACTAAAAATCTAGAAAAGCTATCACATTTCCAAAACATGTTCTGAAAACTAGATTAAATTCTATACGAACCATAAAGAGGCCAAGTTCAGTAAAAATCTAAAATAGCCCTTTTGATTTTAATCTTTCAATAGTACTGAATTTGGAAATTTAGTTTTGCATGAGTGTTTTATGTTCTTGTGTACATGAATATGCTTATTAGTTTATGATCATGTCTTGGTATGGTATTTCATGTGTTATGGTTATGTTCCTTGTCTTCTTCATTTTAATAATGGTCATGCTTATGTGGATATTACTATCTTGTTGAGTTTGCTCTAACTTGACTTAAAACATTGATCCAAACGGAAAACTTAATTGGGATGATATTGGTTTTTCGATCACTTGAATAATGAAGAGATGATTGTCATGACCCGAACCCGCCCCTGTGGGTTAAGGACATAACCGGCTAGTAATCATGAGATTACCTACGGCCTCAAACCAAACCAAACGTATTTTAACAGAGTTAATGGGGGCCAAATGGAAGCAATTTAAAACTTTGTCCATAGAGCTGTGCTTACATGGCACATCGTAACAACCATACATATGCACATTAATAACTCACAACAAAATATGTACCACACAAGGTTCTGTACATACAGGATCATAATAGTCTAAGTCAACCCATCAAAACTATATACACCATATTCAAAGACTTCGCCCACATGACAAAATAAAACAGAATGACAAAAAGGCAAAGACGGGTCTCGTGCGTGAGATGCGAGGGCTGACTCTTCAAAACCTTTGTTGTTCCACACAGACATCACTGAGGCTGGGTCTGGACTTCTCTTGGCTCACCTACAAATACATGAATGAGCGTGAGCGATAGCCCAGTGAATAATATCAAATACAGAAGTTATACAACCAATATGTAGAGCAACATGCTTCAAACGGCCTTGGGCCCAATTCATATTTCTATTTAACATACATATACATAATCCAGGTCAAGTAACTATGGTTCCAAACATACTGGCCTTTGGCCCATTTATCTTTCATTTGTCAGACTGGCCTTTGGCCCATTCAGATTTTCATGTCAAACTGGCCTTTGGCCCATTCAACTTTCATTCATGTCAAACTGGCCTCTGGCCCATTCGTTTATTCATATCAAACATTTGTCCGAAATTCAAACTAGCAAACTTACAAGGCTTATAAGGAAATAAGCAATTGGACAAATGGCGACTTCAAGGTATCGATATTACTCACAGTGATCGGTTGGTTGGTTTGCCCCGGAGCTCGACTCTACACATTCCATGAACACAAAAGGGTCACAAACAATTCGATCCGTTCTAAATTCACATATTCCTTTTTAGGCTTCATTCTTATCTCTTTAACTCAATTACAATGCTTAATGCATGCCTAAGAGTACTTAGAAGTGAAAGAGAATAGAAAATGAAACACAGAATGCCCTTTTCAAAATTTCAGAAAACAGGGTCCCCGCTCGAGCGGACCCTTGAGGCCTGCAAAAGTATTGGATATGTTGAATTTACGCTCGATCGTGCACTCTGGCACTCGAGCGGAAGGCCTCTCCACATGCCTCCCCGCTCGAGCGTGAACTTCCACGCTCGAGCGGACATCCATGTCTGAAAAAATATTAGGAGCACGAATTTCCCGCATGAGCGTCTCTTCTCCCGCTCGAGCGGACATCAAAAATTATGGATTTTCCAGAACACATTCTTGAGCTTCAACTTGATGTTCAAAGGTTCCAAATGCATGATTTTGGCTCAAACTTCACATATATATATATATATATATATACTAGCATGGTATAAACACTGAATTTCAACATTATGAAGCATAATTCCAAGAATTTCTCACATGCAAATACATCAAATTCTCAAATTAACCCAAACTCATCACCAACACATCAAATTCAAACATGCAAAGCTCCCATCTCCATGATCTACACTTGCATGTGAGAGATATTCATGATTCTCAATTTAATTGGTGAAGAGATGTTCAAATACATGGATTTCAAACAAGATTCATCATGGATTACACAATTTATGCTTAAACATGGAAATTTATAGCAATTTCCTACATGCATGCCTCTAATGACTTCAAATACAACAAAATCAACTCAATTTCCTCATAATCAATTTAATCCATGTTCTTGACCATTATTCAAACTTGAATTCTCAAGATGATAACTTACAATTCATGAATTCACTTACCTAGAGGCTTAATTCTTGAGTGTAGCTTCAAGATTACCAAGTTCCTTAGCAAATCTCTACTTTGAGCCTCTTCTCTCACTAAATCCGGCCCCTCTCTCTCTCTAGAGCATAATTTCAGAAGTTGAACTAAAAAAGAAACAAAAATGAGAGTGTAATGGCCTTAATAAGAGCTCCATTGGTCACATTATTTTAATATAAAATAATTGAGCACTGATTCATCAAATTCAATCTGATTAATTTGATCCGAATCAATTTCCAATTAAATTTCACCGTAGGCTCTAAAAATTACGCTAATCACAATGGCGCAATCAATTTCGGATTCTGTGGCCGATAAGGCCTTCAATTTAATTTCCAAAGTAGACAATCAAACAGATATTCCTACGGTGAACAGATAGAAATTCAAAACTACATATTTTCACATAATGGCACACAAAATCATATTAAACACATAATCATACTCATATTAAGGACTAATTAACATATTACGGAACAGGGATATCACAATGATAATGTGTTATGTATGGATTGATGGAATGTGCTCCCCAATTGAAGGTTAAGTCTTGCGCGAGCGGTTGTCGCGTAAACCCTGGAATGGAACGGACGTATTCAGACTCTTTGCGATGGTTTGATTGGTAAGATAAGGTTGGGTCCGGATGGGACATTCAGGAAGATAAAACTTTTTTGGAAGGATAAGGTTGGATTCAGGAGATAAAACCTTTTTCTTTTCGTTGTCCCTTTTGAGGCCCTGCGGTTGGCGCTACGCGGTATGTAACTGTTGGTAGGCATCCGAGGTTAGTTCTGTAACAAAGCAGCAAAATGGGAAGTTCCGAATAGTCCAGTGTCCAATTCTTGTGGTTGGGAGGATGAAATCTCTTTAGGGGATTTCTAGAATACTAACCACTAACATTATAACCTTGTTAGCTATTTGAATGACATGCTCCTTTTCTCTATTATTGAAATTGCTGTTATTGACTTGAATATCATGCTTCACTACTTGTTTGCCATAAATGTGATGGTGTATTGGATTGGGAAAAAGGGACGGGGTGTGTGTGCGTTTACTGGGCATTTAAAGCTCACGGCGTTTCATGCCAGGCATTGAAGACTATTAGGCTGGTCGAAGGCAAAGCTGAAGTATTTTAGGACGTATGGCTATCCTATGAGAGTTAGGAACTAGTTATGTTAAACGTGTTTTGAGATTGTAAGTGATAGATCCCATGTTGTATTTAAGACATGATTTTTGTAATTTGTATATATAACATTTGTAACCTATCCTTATACTCTGTTAACTCATGTAGGCCTTGTGTTAATACCCTGTCAAGATCTGTCAAAAAGGTAGCTTTGCTATCTAAGGTGGTTGGACTTAGAAAGGAGGCTATTTTGACTCCTCCGACCTCCCTGGGATCTTGCTTGCTTATTAGCCAAAGGACTTATTAGTGACATTTCCTACTCTTGTAACCTTAGATAAACCCTGTATTTAATGGTTAATATATTATCTGATGTTCCCGATTTTTGGGGCGTCACAATCTCAACGTTTCAATTATTCCATGAGTTATGGTATTATGTCCCCCAGACAGCGCCTCACTAAAGGATGCCACAAATACATATTCAAAAAGGACATTCATTCGTAGATACAAAATAAGATTCCAAAACATCATTCTTGAACAATTCAAAATATATTTCGAACATATCTTTATAGAGATATTACTCACAGTGGGCTTGTACAAACGCTAGATCTCGGATGTCCAACCTATACAAAACACATAACAAACATACATTGAAACATATCACTCAAACAAATATCTTTGATCCATTTCAATCCCAATTCAATTCAATTCTTTAGGGGTTTCTAACTTATTATTTCCTTAATGAAGCTGTCACAATGCCTAAGAATGCTTAAAAGAACATGAGAATGAAAATATGTACATGAAAGTGTTTCATTGTTGAAAATAGTGTGTTTGCTTGGGCGGACCTCTGGTCGCTCGAGCAGTCTGGTCGATCTACAAAAGTACTGGTTGGTTTTAAAGTAGGCTCGATGGTCGCTCCAGCGGACTTTTGGTTGCTGGAGCGGTCTACAAAGCTTTACAAAATTACTGGATGATCGAAATGTGCACTCGAGCGAAGACTCCATCGCTCAAGAGATGAGGTCAAATTTCTCGGTTTCCAAAACAGGATTTTGAGCTCCAAAACATAAGTCTACCATTCAAAGACTTACATGGCTGGTCCAAACACTTAGAAATGTTTTGTAAAACATGGGAATTGTCACGACCTGAACCTATCCCTAAAAGTTTAGGCCATGACAAGCCTGTACTTAGGCCTCAAAGACAAAATTTCAAAATATTTAAATGACATCGGGGCCTAAAGCGGAAGCAAATCAAATAGTAATGTCCATTGAGCTTGTGCATACATGATAACGGAAATAATTAAAACAATGTAAACACACTAGTGTACATATATATATATATATATATATCTCACACACATATACATAAAACTTAAGTAAATACAAAATTCTACCAATACAAGGTTAAAGTCTCAACACAGAAGCGCACTTTGGGTGGCTTGACTTAGCAGGTTCACAACAGAACTCCTGAGGCTGACCTAAGGATGGTCTTCGGATTGATCACCTACATACAGACAAAATACGGAGTGGGCGAAGCTCAATGAGTAATAATAAAGTGAAGTGAATCAAGTAAATAATCTAGATTCAAAAGAAGCATAACACCATACTCTTCCATATTTACATCATCCACAACATTATTCCTTTTCATATTTACAAAACGGCCTCAGGCTCACCATATAACAAAACGGCCATGGGCCCACATGTATCAAAACAGCATCGGGCCCAATCGAACATCAAAATGGCCTCGGGCCCAATTGAAAACGGCCTCGGGCCCAATCAAACATCAAAACGGCCTCGGGCCCAATCATATATCATATTATAAATAATTCACCTTTCATATCCATATTCCATATCATAGATCTTATAACTCATTCATTCGCATACACATAATTCCATAACATCGCAACATTTACATATTAAAATAAATATAATGAACATAACTTTACAATATTATTACTCACAGTGACGGGCTTCCGGTAGTAGTTGGGTGATGTCCTCGTCTTGACCTACAATCATAATTACATAACACAACATATGAAGTTAACCGATACCTTTCTTTTCTCTTTAATCAATTAGTTATGTTGGTTCTAAACTCATTAGTCCTCAATAGGTCATAATTCGTGTTTAGAAAAATAGGAGGAAATGAAAGGAAACTAAGTTAGATGAAGAATTCGCATGAAACCGGTAGACAGAAAGTGAGCAATCTTCACTAATTTGAGCATATCTATTTGTGTACTTTGAATTTGGGAGTGAGACCACCATTGGAAACTAGACTTTTGGGGCTTGAATTTAGGCTCAATAATCACTTAAAACGGAGTCTGGATGAGAGAGATATGCTTATTTGAAGTTGAGCTGAAACATGAGAGTGCCGCACGTGCAGGAAATCCAGGGCACATGCGAGGGCACGTGCTTTTATTTCAGAATCAAAAATGTTACTGGGAGAAGGCTCCTACACGTGTGCAAAGCCCCACTACACGTGCGGCTCTCGGCAAAAATTGCTATCCGAAAATACTAGTTGGTTCTAACACTTGTTCTTTCATTTTCTAAGCTAGATTTCAACTTAAATCATTCAAAATCATGTAAAACTAATAGAAAATATGAGCTTATGGTTGTTTTCCAAATCAAAACACCAAAAATACCATGAATCTTTAAGCAAGGAAAATCAAAATCCTTGTTTAATTCTTTATCAAACTTTTCCAAAACTTCTTCTTCTAAACTCATGTAGATCTTAATTTCATATAAGATTAACCATACAAAACCTCAAGATTAAGGCTCAACATCTCATAATCAACTTCAAGATAACCATATGTAAGGAAATTGACTCCTAAATCAAGTAAATCTAAGAAATCAAGATTCAATTCTATGAAGAGAGCTCATTTTAGCTTGTACTTCAAAATCCTAACTCAATTAGGTGTGAAATCTTCATCTTGAGTCATGAATTCAAATAATTAATAAGTTATTCCCAAGAAGTTAAGTTGATTTTTACCTACCTTAAGTCAATTTCTTGAATTCAACTCCAAGTCTCTCAATTTCCCATGCTTCTTCTTCAATTTCATCTTCAAATTTCATGGACGTTTAGCTCTCTCTCTCTAAAAGCTTTCTTCCTCTCTCCCTTTCTCTTTCTCTCCAGATTTTTTTTCTTTTCCTTTCTTTGTTGAGTCTATCTCCACAAGGCCCATATACTATTATATCTTTACCTTGTCTCATAAAACCTATAGCCAAAAGCTTATCTCAATGATAAGAGCCAAACATGACTTAATGAATCAGCCAAAATCAAATTTCAATTAAACTTCACAGATGACTCTAAAAATTATGCTGATCATAATTATGTATTCTGTTCTGGTTTTTGAAGCCTCTAAGACCTTCAATTTGCAGTGCAAAGTTAACCACCCGAACATACCTTAACGAATTAGACAAAATAAATTTTTAAGTAACTTTCCCAAATGGTTCTAAAAATTTCCATTAGCATATCCATGTATTCAATTTCGGTTTCTGAACCTATGAAGGTTAGAAATTTCAATTTTAAAGTCGTAACTCAACAGATAATTCCTCAATTCAAATAGATATCATTAAATTAAAGCACATTAACCCATAATTAATAAAGATAATTTATGATATGTATTTTGGGGTCGTTACATTCTCCCCACCTTAAGAAGTTTGGTCCTCCAAACTTGATTTACCCTGTTACAAGTCCAGTTTGTCTCAGATATACAACATCCTTCAATCATTTAACAGTTTACAGTCCTATGATGTTAATCTCAATAAGGTCTGTTCCACAAATCACAATTAATTTGTCATTTACCGGCCAATTGGTAACCCAAGTGATAATAATACTCAGTGACATCATAACATCATCTTATTATTCACAACCCTCATATATTTTAATTTATTGATCCATAAGCCATATACCTCAAATGGTAAAACCTTAACCCCAAGGTGTTCACAATCTAATTGTCTTCAAATATTTGTTTTCATGCAACTCGTAAGTCATCCATCATAATTCAAATTCTTTTGTTCCACAAACAGTCCCAAATACTATAATTATTAAAAGAATAAAAAAATATTCATTACTCAATCGTGCTTCCCATGATACATTCATTCTACAACAATTGAACCAAAATGAACAAAGGGGCTTTGAATCAATAACTTCAGGGCTCTTTGCTCACTATTGATTTAAGTATTCACAATATCTAGATAATTCAAAGCATCCCCAGCCTATCTACTTCCATACTACATGGGATAAATGAGGTCTAAACTGTCTACCAACCAAAGTTAGGTTCCAGTCCTCTTGTGTCCACTTGATATAAATGTACTTATCAATTCTTTTACCACATAATTTCCTTTCGCAGTCCTTGTCAATTTCTTACTTACCTTTCTTATTTAACAGTTCTTACCAATTGATTTTCTCATCACCGAAGTTTAACTCATTATCATCTATATATAGATTATTACTCCAAATTGATTTAGTCACCAAAAAAAATGATCTTGTAATGTCATAATGATTCACAGAGTCAACTTCATAGTAGTAAAACACAAAGCACATTGTCTATGAACTCATATAGTTTTGTGTTACTATCCACATTTTCTCAATTCATATAATTCCCAATAATCACAGTTCAATTTTAAATGCCATCCGTGCTTACACTCTTTTGTTTTCCACATCTCAAAGTAGGCTAAACATTTAACATAACCTTAATATCAGATGCAAGCCTTGGTTTGCAAATTTCTTCACTACATTAGGCCAAATAGTAGTTCCCATACAGCTCATATGCCTTATTGATAAACCAATTAGGTGGGTCCAAAAGTCGAAAATCACAAATAACTCACTTAGGCAAGCTAATAACATTTACTCATCATTTATTTCAATATTTTACATAAAGGCATTAAATCAAATCCGTATAACATTTCCCATAGAATAGATCCTTCGATTAATAAAGAAACTTTTAACATATACTATTAGCCCGATGATCAACCCATCCTACAACTAAATGAGTCAAATAAACGAATGGGTTCTAAACTAATATTTTGCTCACAATAGCTCAAACACATGTAATATTGATCTTAACACATCGAAGTGTCCTTAATTATCTTAGCATTTTAGCTCAAGTTTCAATTATTCACTCAAAAGAAATCTAAACTCTCCAATAGTCATTCTAGCATACATAGGAACACTAATTCCAACGTAACACTTTGTATATTCATTAAATTTCTTGTCATTGACCCTTCGTACCATAACACTTCCTGACACATTCTTTGATTCATTTATTGAATTCACACTTAACTTCTTATTTTGGTCTCATTGCTTCTCATGACATGTTTATATAGGTTCTGTCATAGTCGTAAATCGTCCTTCTACTTTATCCAATTGCCTCAACAAGGACTCAACTTCCATTTCATCTCTACTTCTCATCATCTTCTTTTAGGGTCACAAGCTACAGGTCGATGACACGTGGGGTATCATTTACTAACTACAATATAGCACATAATATCACATATTTAATCATGAAACATAGAATTATACAATCATACAAAAATGTGGGCGGAACAATTTCTTCATCTCATATCAAACCATTTCCTACCTCTCACTCACATAGTCCCATACTCGTTATCAATCGTCACGTCTCTCCATTGCCATAATTCCTTATACTTTATTGATGAACAATAGCCTTAGCTTCCCAAAATTTCTCATAGTCTAATTCCGCAGGTAACCCATATAGAAGCCAAGATTTAATCTCTTTCATATCATGTTCCTACAAACAAGCTGATACAACCAATTTCAATATCCTTGTAACACCAATATTCCATATCTTTCACAACCTTAGCCTCAATATCATACTCAACACGTAAACCCATTCTCAAAATTCTACATATGGTGTATTCCACATTACACAAGTCAAGTTTATAAGTCTAATAAGCTTTTAAGTTCAGTCCCCAAGTTTTATCAAATGTTCAATTCCCATGCTAATTACTACATAACCATTGTGCTCGTAATCTATGTCAATTGATTCATTAGGCTCATAGTCATATCAATAGGCATCATAATAACTTGTCAATTACAATGTGAGGGCTAATCAACCTATTCTGCATACCCATAAAGTCAAACACAAAAGTTATCAGTAGATGTTCAAAAGTGTGCAATTCTAATACCATTTCACATCAGTAATATCAAAGTGTCAAACATAAAATCAATCATCCTATTACCATCGCATTTCATGCTAAGGAATATATGGTTTTATTTTATTTTATTTTTTTACACATAAACATCGCATATAGACAAGAGGTTAATCCTATGGGGCTAACCAATCTAATACACGTGTCACAGATATCCGTATCCAATAGTATCCGAAGCAAGAATATACACGTGCACTAGTCCAAAATCGATCAACACATAGGCATTTAGTTATGAACAGTATAAATACCTAGAGAAACAAGTTCAGTGTTCTGAGTGTTTTCTGACACAAATGTAGTCACTCAATCCTGATTAGCAATCCGAGGACAATTCCTTACCATATGATCCATTACACCACACCTATAACAAACCCCTTAGTGTTTCTTACCACATTCATCACATGGTGCCATATTCCTTGTAGAGTTTAAAGTGTTTGATGATCCCACATTTTGTCTTTTAAATGGTCTTTTCCTTATGACTTTCAACATATTCACTTGGTGCTCTTGTAGCGATTGCGACAAGGATTCTTGTTGTAACGATAATTGATGTTGTTGTCTTAAAATCTCTGCCATTTCTTGTACTATACCTTCCAGTCTATCAAGTCGGACTATGGAAGAGTCTTCTAACTCATTTTCCCTTGTTTCCTTCATGATCTAGACAAACTCGTATCATACCATGCCAAGTACAGAAATAACCATAGCTACACATCGGTGTATTTACACATAGCCAGACATTTTACATATTGACAAAACATAATAAGCATATGCATAATAGATAATGGCATATCTAGTAAACATCGCATGCTGATTGCATATGAGATAAGTGCACACCTAACCATATTCGTAGTCCACATATTTGCCTGATTATGACATCAAAATACATATACGCAACCAATTATACATAGTAGGTTCATATACTTGCATTATAACAATAACAGCACCTGCTTGTACACATTCACATGACGATTCATATCTCATATTCGCATAGACGATAAGACTAGAATCATACAAGTGATTACATAACCTTCGTCTTCATATCGAAACGATAATCATACTTCTACATATATTCTACATAGGTCTTATGCAATATAAGCATAACACAAGTGCATATAACTTTCATTCCCATAGTTTCCGTTCTCATTTCATTTTCCAATATCTTCATACACACACACATGCCAATGCAATGTCTCTAAGTCTTTCTAGAACACCTACAGCTCAAATGGACCCATGTGTGTGGAAGTAACTCGTGCTCTGATACCAACTGTCACGACCAAAACCCACCCCTAAAAGTTTAGGTCATAATCGGCCTGTACTCAGACCTCAGAAACAAAATTTCACAATATTAAAATCATATCGGTGCCTAAAGCGAAAGCAAAATAAAAATAATAATGTCCATTGAGCTTGTGCATACATGATGACTAAAATAATTAAAACATTTAACTACATTTTCCATATTTACATATATCATAACAAAGCTTATATGGAACTCACACACATATACATAAATTCAATAAAATACAAAATTCTAACAATACAAGGTTAAAGCCTCAACACAGAGGCGCACTTTGGGTGGCTTGACTTAGTAGGTTCATAACAGAACTCCTGAGCCTGACCTAAGGATTGTCTCCGGATTGATCACCTACATACAGATAAAATACGGTGTGAGCAAAGCTCAATGAGTAATAATAAAGTGAAGTGAATCAGGTAAATAATCTAGATTCAAAAGAAGCATAACACCATACTCTTCCACATTTACATCATCCACAACGTTATTCCTTTTCATATTTACAAAACGGCCTCAGGCCTACCATATAACAAAATGGCCTCAGGCCCACATGTATCAAAATGGCCTCGGGCCCAATCGAACATTAAAATGGCCTCGGGCCCAATCAAATATCAAAACGGCCTCGGGCCCAATCTTATATCATATTATAAATAATTCACCTTTCATATCCATATTCCATATCATAGATCTTGTAACTCATTCATTCGCATACACATAATTCCATAACATCGCAACATTTACATATTAAAATAAATATAATGAACATAACTTTACAATATTATTACTCACAGTGACGGGCTTCCGGTAGTAGTTGGGTGATGTCCTCGTCTTGACCTACAATCATAATTACATAACACAACATATGAAGTTAACCGATACCTTTCTTTTCTCTTTAATCAATTAGTTATGTTGGTTCTAAACTCATTAGTCCTCAATAGGTCATAATTCGTGTTTAGAAAAATAGGAGGAAATGAAAGGAAACTAAGTTAGATGAAGAATTCGCATGAAACCGGTAGACAGAAAGTGAGCAATCTTCACTAATTTGAGCATATCTATTTGTGTACTTTGAATTTGGGAGTGAGACCACCAT